TCGAAATGAGGAGCGTGTGGACGGATGGGAACGACAAGACGATAGATCAGGGTGTAGTGGATGAAGAGGGTCGTCTAGAATCTTGTAAGCAAATTTAAAACAAGAGTTGATGTGACTATCAATGAGACCTGTGACTAATAAATCAATTGGGATTAGTGATGCACGACTGATTATCACCAAACCAGGGCGAATTGTTTTGGAGTAGTGTTTTAAAAGACCAGGAAACACTATAGGAGAGCAATAAAGTAAAATGGGTTAAACGCATTGATGTACGAAAGATGACAGGACTGATTGTGGGGTTCGGAATTGCCCGAGTTTGCGTAACTGAAAAGATAAGCGTCTCAGTTTTCCCACACAGTTGTATATATGTGTCGACCAACGAAGATTTCTGTCGATGGTGACACCTAGGTACTTCACCGAGGTCATTTTAGATACAGGTTTATCGTTAAGAATAGCATAGTCCGTTAAAAATGAGGAACGGGAAAGACTGAAAATACACTCTATGCACTTAGATATATTAAGAAAGTTGTTCGGATTGCAATTACACAGTAAGCATTATCACAACACATGCGAACAGCCACCCGGTTTAGAACAAATGACAGGCCGTGCATAATGAATTTTAAAGATCACAAGAGCCCATATAGACATAAGGACAATGATGCAGGAGGAGCCCTTGGGGAAAAGTGATCATGTGATCCTGCGACTGAGGATAGAAAGCAGGCATACCAAACCAGCAGCCAAACTAGTGAGGCGATATGGCAGAATCAAGCAGGAAAAACTGGTCAAAGTGGCACAGGATATAAACTGGGTACCCAACCCAGCCAATGCATCTCTGGAAACCAAGTGGAGCCATATCATGACAGGCCGACTCTTACTCACAGAAATATTCGCGCTTTTGGTTCCGTTAGATATAAACAACGTCCTCCTTGGTGAAAGGTAAATATAGATAGGGCTATAACAATTCGCAGGAGACGGCGGCTATAGACCTTGTGGCACCCATCAGTCATGGAGTGAGTACAAACAAGCGTGCAACTACGCCCAGAACGTGCAAAGGGGGCTAAATACCAATTTGAATGGAACTTGGCTCAAAACTTCAAGCGAAATTCTAAGTGTTCCTATGCATATGTCCAATCTAAGCAAAACACTGGAGAAACGGTAGGTACTTTACAATCATCAACCGGAGAACTAACAATGAGTGAAGGCGATAGGGCACGTATCCTATTACAGTTCTTCAAAAGCACGTACAGGATCCTCAGGGTGACAGATAACTTTCCAGCAGTCAAAGGTAACGGCAACATGGCAGCGGGGCCTGACGGAATTCACTCAGTGATTGTACAATCGCTGGCTGGCGTCATAGTGGGTCTTCAAGTTATTTAAAGAGTCGCTTAGATTGGAAACTATCCCGAACGACCGGCGCATAGCTGCAGTAGTGGCAATACACACAATCCCGGCAAAACAACGCAAGTTACAGACCAGTCAGTTTGACGTCAGTAACATGTAAGTGTTTGAAGCACCTAGTTAGAAGGCAAATATGCTACTAAATTGGCAGTAGCAAACTATTGGTACCAGCCAAACACGGATTTGTTGAAAGATCTTGTCTGATAAACCCGTTGAAATATATAGACGAGGTCACACGTAAATCAGATGAGGGCATACCGGTGAAGGTATCTGGACTTCCAGAAAGCATTTGACTCGGTCAGCCATCATCCGTTAGATCACAATATGCATTTATTGGGAATAGTGGGGCAAGTCGAGAGCTAAATAATGNNGGTTTCTTACGCCGTGGACTTTTGGGGTCAGAGTAGGAGCCCACACATCCGAGGAGGTGGTCGCATGTGGTATACCTCAAGGATCAGTACTTGGACCACTGTTTTTCCTCCTCTACATTACCGAAGTAGTAAAAAGATGGGCCGAACAGTAGGACCTACCATTGAACGTCTCTCTATGTCAAATACTGAGAACCACCATTGATGAAGAGACAAAAAGGGGCCTGTCGATACAAAGCGTGAATGAGGCAAAGGATTAATGCATAGTGGTAACGCGGGACATCAAAATAAGCACCCATTGTGTGAAGGACTCAAACGAAGCCTGGGGGCCACGGTTCTGTCTATGCGCGACCATGACGTGCAGAAAAATCGAGGTTTTTGTCCCCCGGTACAAAAGTATTGCCCGCCTGTATCTGGAATATTATATGCAGGATTGAGCCCTACTTTTTTCGAAAAGATACTGATAACACAATGAGGGCTGGACGTCCAGGTACAAGAATGATAGCTGGGCAACGGGAGAAAAGATATGAACCACGGCTAAAACGGATTCGGAGACGAGGAGACCCGTGTACTGATGGATCTGTGAAAATCCTTCCTGTATGGCCCAGTCATTCTATCTCGGTACCATATTTTGTGAATTCTACGTTCTATTTAACTAACACCATCCGCCTCATACACACAAACATTTGACGTTCCACTTCCTTTCTATATCTACACACCGATCCTACCATTTGACTATATTTGTTTATCTGCTTCATTAGTACCCTACTTGTTTTAATCGCGACCTGGGCGCTCACATTTGTGTTGGTCGTGTGCAGCGTGACGGTGAGCGCGCTGTTCTTATCCCGACTCATTTTTTTCCGTTCAGATTTGTTGAATTACGCTCACAGTAACACTTTGCTCTTGTTTTCCAGTTGTTTGGAGATCCCTTTGAGGTTTCTACAGTTTTTATTTGCTTATTTGATTGTTTATTAAAGCAGTACCGTAGAAACTTGCTGGATCGTTCGTTTTGTTGACGTTTTGGGATCCGAATTCGATTAAGCGTTACTTGTTGATCTCCTCGGGAGGCACAACCACACCGGCCTGTGGTTTCCATGCCTGGGACGTAACGGCGCAAACTCATCCATAACTCGGCATGTATCTAATTGGATTTTATGTCTTCCCTCTTGTATTGTGGGTTCAGGGGATTCTGATGACCAGATGACCTGTTCCACCGCTTTACACAAGGTCACGTCATTTATACCACCATAGAACCGTAAAGTGAGGCTTATGGCTTTCTGTGCTTTTCCGTCAGAGTGAACCTCAATACTAGATTATCACTTT